GTTTTGATCTTTAATGTTTAAAACTCTGCTTGGTTGATGAAAAGGAGCAAGCTTCTTGCTTCCGTCTTGGAAAGAAGATAACATTTGGCTTTAGGGCATCTCCAACACCGACCCTCTCCTCTCGGTCGAGACGGTGAAAGCCACTGCTATCGGGATTGGACGGAAGGATGTTGATAGCATGTTTGAGATTTGGCAGAAGTCACTATTTTTTTTTCATGCATTCACTCATAGATTGGCACAAGGATGCGGCTAGCATGCCATTAGTTTAGCCGAAGGATGCTTCTTTTTTTTGGCGTAGTTGTTTGGTGGAAAGTGATTTTTTCATTGTCATGCTATTTGGCAAAAGGATGTATATAGAGTGTCTATGGTAATGCAAATTGTGCACTTTGACGGAAGGCTATTAGTACGGATCACAAAGCAAAACTACAAGATTTGGCGGGATGCTACCTATTTTTAAGTTAACAGAAGCAGATATTTGAGGTATATATAGTGTTGGATGGACGACTCCGGTATCCGTGTTCATGGACACGTCTGGACGCGTCCATGGACAAATAGTGAGTCCGAGTTGAGGGACAATGTTGAAGACGCCCTTACCTATCACATACTCCATTATTCAAGTGGAATAAATATCCTCAAGTTATGTGAGCTAAGTTTTATTTCACGAATACGCTAGATTTGTATCTTTGAATTGATATAGAAAGAGTGTTACAGAGGCATCCCATCGATGTGTACACTAGCAGGGGCAATGCCAGAGAGCGTCAACAGAGAGAGAAGGGGGTTGCTCGGCCCCAAATACACAGGGAGCTAAAGAAGGATGTTGCACAATCCCTTTATGCAGGCGCATGTCCATAGCTTTTCCTCGGCTTGAATCGCTTAAAGAACACGCATCAGAGGATTTCTCGTCATCTAAGAGACAGCTGTTACAGTGCTCCCAAATGGTCAATGCAATGGGGAGAGCGAGAGAGTGGAAGCGCTTGCAAAAGAGATGGTTGTAAGACGATACTAGGAGATGACATCGTGCCAGACCTGCCACAAGAAGGGAGAACCCACAAGGAGGTGTTGCATCATCTCCAAATCTTGGTCGTAAAAGAGGCAATGCATGGCATGGGGTAGATCAAGCCGTTTGAGGCGCACAGCGGTCCAACAGCAATCTTGGGTAGCCAGCCTGGTGAAAAATCGAATATGCAGGAGTGCCCAAACCTTCCGTGTCATCTTCTAGTGTAGTGCCATTTTGGATCCCTCGGAGAGAGCTATGTAGCAAGATTGCATAGAGTAGAAACCATTGAACACCCATCTTGCGTAGAGTAGGAACCATTGAACATCCATCTCCATCGGATCACGTCTGGATCGGGGCCGAGAGGAACTGAATCGCTTTGCACCAGAGGTCAACATACTTGACAGATGCCGCAACACCCATGGCTCCACGAATGTCAAGGATCCAAGCATGCCGCGAGACACTGTCACAAACAAGGTGTTTCTTCCATAGTCGTCGAAGGACCAAAGCAGTAGGGGTCGACACGATCTCAATAATAGAGTTGCTGCCCAACCAGTGGTTAGTCCAAAAATGACACGGTCGACCATCGCTAAGGGTGTGTTTCGTTCATGTCATGGATCGGAATATCACGGGGCGGACCCGTTCTTGGACCTGATTCTCGCGTTTGGTGTGTGTATGGAACGGTGACCGACTCATTCCCGTGAACCGAGAATATTTGGCTCAGATCCGGAACGAGGTGAGACCTCTGAAAGCACAAGTGTTCCCTGGGTGATTTTGGTAATTAATGTCAACATATTTCTTGTTCGACTAATAGTTTTATCTAGTGAATTTCGGACAAGTTCAATAATTGTGTGGCAAGGACAAAAGGATATGGAACCCCTTAAAAATGCTAAGGATAAAGATAGACAAAAGCTCAAGACCTTTCATTTCTATTTTAGTGATCCAAGATTACATTGAGTCCATAAAAAAGTCAATACTATTAAAAGGCGATGGGGTGTTGCTTAATGGTCTACTTGCTCAAATGCTTAGTGATATTGCTCCAAAATCCTCGGCCACTTTCTCCATCCAAATATGTCCAAAGCCTAAACTACAACTCGGCCCCATCGATTCTTTCTATCTGGAGCCACCGAGTTCATATGACATAGCCGCTGCCAAAAACCCTAACAGTTCGGTCTCATCGATACAGATCTCGACCTCACCGAGATGGCCTTGCCAGCGCTCTGTGACTTGTCACATTTATTTCGGTCTCACCGAGTTATGCAATCGGTCTCACCGAGTTGGCTTGACAGATTCTCTGTTGCCTATTGCTTCACTTTGGTCTCACCGAGTTGATGCAATCGGAGCCACCGAGATGATGTTTGCCCTAAGCCCTAGCACATCAGTCCCACCGAGTTGTTCAGTCGGTCCCACCATGTCGGATTTCGGGTTCCGGCAGACCCTTGAGGTTTGAACACTGGGGTGCGCGCGGAGATCGCTCCCCTACCGATCTACGTCCAATCTCCTCGCATGATCTAAACTGGAAACAACGAACAACACAAGGGACACAAGGTTTATACTGGTTCGGGCCACCGTTGCGGTGTAATACCCTACTCCAGTGTGTGGTGTGGTGGATTGCCTCAGGGGCTGATGATGAATAGTACAAGGGAAGAACAGCCTCGCGAGAGGTGTTCTTGAGCTGGTGCGATGAACCGCTAGGGTGAGTTCAGTCGCTTCTCTCTCTCTCTCTGCTAGGGTTCTACCAGATCTCTCGCCGTCCTCTACTCTGTGGTGGCTAGCTCTATTTATAGAGGCCCTGGGCCTCTCCCCAAATAACGAGCGGGAAGGGCGCCAACAATTGGCCATTTTGAAGGGGAACATCTAGTACAAGTTATCCTGACCAAAGGTGGTCTTCGGCTGCCAAAAGTACTGGTGATGACGTCGTCTTGGGCTCCACGGTGACCTCTGCCCTGCCGCTCTGTTGGTCTTGGTCTCGTTGCACCGGAATGGTAACCTTTGCCCGATGCCTTGGCCTGTGCTTGCCCCCTTTGCACCAAAGGGGAAACAAGGACACTGCGCAGGCCGGCGCCTGCCTGGTCTCGATCGTCATGGCTTGCGTCACGGGCTCCACGCGAGGTACCCCTGCCTTGATCTCTCCGCCTCCTCGCGAGCCTGCCTGATGAGGCTGCCTCTGAGGAAGCTTCCGGTCGTCCGTCCCGTGAGGCTTGGCCCCTTGCGAGGGTCTTGAGCTTGAGCTGATGAAGATGGGCCGCGCTGGGCCCCCACTTGAGCCATGCCGCAGGCCGCATGCACGCAAGTCTGGGGACCCCCGTTCCCAGAACGCCGACAGTAGCCCCCGGGCCCAAGGCGCGCCCGGGCTTGGCCTAGAAGGGAAGCGAAGGGGCAAGCGCGAA